TTCCATAATGTGGATAATTGGAGCACATTCTGGGGAAGATGGGACCTGTACAGGAAGGACGGGTTGCACCTGAAACAGAAGGGCACAGATATCCTGGGAGGGAGGTTTACTTGAACCATACGGGATGGTTTAAACTAGATTGGCAGGGGTTGGGGAACTGGATTTGTAATTCAGAGGATGAGGTATTCAGCCTTCCAACAGACACAACAGGGAGTGAGGTTGTTAATAAAGAAATGCAGTCAATGGAGCGAAATTGTGGACACAGGGATGGTTTGAAGTGTGTATACTTCAATGCTAGAAGTATCAGAAACAAGGCGGTTGGACTTAGAGCATGGGTCAGTACTTGGAACTATGATGTTGTGGCCATTACAGAAACTTGGGTAACTCAGGAACAGGAATGGTTATTGGAAGTTCTGGGATTTAGATGCTTTAAAAGAAATAGGGAGGGTAGTAAAAGAGGCGGGGGAGTAGCATTGCTAGTCAGGGCTAGTATAGCAGCTTCTGAAAGGCAGTTCAAGAATGATATGTCTACAGAGTCATTTGAGTTGAGGCCAGGAAAAAAAAGGAGCAGTCACTTTGTTGGGGTTTTTTTACAGACCCCCTAATAGTTGCAGAGAAGTGGAGGAGCGGATTGGGAGGCAGATCCTGGAAAGGTGCAGAAGTCACAGGGTTGTAGTCATGGGTGACTTCATCTTTCCAAATATTGATTGAAAACTTTTTAGTTGTAATAGTTTAGATGTAACGGATTTTGTCCAGTGCGTTCAGGAAGGATTCCTGACACAGTATGTAGATAGACCAACATGAGGAGAAGCCACTTTGGATTTGGTGCTTGGCAATGAATCGGGCCAAGTGTTAGACCTGTTGGTAGGAGAGCATTTTAGCGGCAGCGATCATAAACTCTGTTACTTTTACAATAGTCATGGAAAAGGATAGGTAGATACAGCAGGGTAAAGTTTATAATTGGGGGAAGGGTAATTATAATTCTGTCAGGCAAGAACTGGGTAACATAAAATGGGAACAGATGCTGTCAGGGAAGACCACTATTGAAATGTGGAGATTGTTTAAGGAATGCATACTGCGTGTGCTCGATATGTTTGTCCCCAGCAGGCAGGGAAGATGTGGTCGAGTGAGGGAGCCTTGGTTCTCGAGAGGTCGAATGACTGGTTAAGAGGAAGAAGGATGCTTACATAAGGTTTAGGAAACAAGGATCGGAAAAGGCTCTGGAGGGATACAAGTTAGCCAGGAAGGAGCTGAAGAAAGGGCTTAGGAGAGCTATAAGGGGGCATGAGAAAACCTTGGCAGAAAGGATCAAGGAAAACCCCAACGCTTTTTACATGTACGTGAGGAATAAGAGAATGACCAGAGAAAGGGTAGGGCCGATTGAGGATTATAAAGGGAATTTGTGTACGGAGCCTAAAGAGATAGGAGAGGTCCTTAATGAATACTTTTCTTTGGTATTCACAACTAAGAGGGACCTAGTTGTAGGGGAGGACAGTGTGAAACAGGCTGGTAGGCTAGAGGAGGTGGATGTTAGAAAGGAAGATGTACTAGGAATTTTGAGGAACTTGAAGATAGATAAGTCCCCCGGACCTGATGGGATTTATCCAAGGATTCTATGGGACACAAGGGGAGAGATCGCAGGGCCTTTGGCAATGATCTTTTCATCCTCACTGTCCACGGGGAAAGTGCCGGAAGATTGGAGAAGACAAAGGGTGGTAGTGGACGGAAAATATTCAACATGGTGCTCAGTTACGAGTGGTGTACCACAAGGATCTGTTCTGGGTCCTTTTCTATTTGTTGTTTTTGTAAATGATTTCGATGTAGGAGTGGAAGGGTTCATTAGTAAGTTTGCGGACGATACGAAGGTGGGTCGAGTTGTGGATAGTGCGGAGGGCTGTTCTAGGTTACAAAGGGAAATTGATGGGAGGCAGAGCTTAGCTGAGAAGTGGCAGATGGAGTTTAACCCTGAAAAGTGTGAGGTGATTCATTTTGGAAGGACAAATTTGAAAGCAGAATACAGGGTTAATGGAAAGATTCTTGGCAGTGTGGAGGAGCAGAGGGATCTTGGGGTTCATGTCCACAGTTCCCTGAAAGCTGCCACCCAGGTGGATAGAGTTGTTAAGAAGGCATATAGTGTGTTAGCTTTCATTAATAGAAGGATTGCATTCAAGAGCCGTGAAGTTATGCTCCAGCTATACAAAACCTTGGTGTGGCCACATCTGGAGTATTGTGTCCAGTTCTGGACGCCTCATTACAGGAAAGTTGTGGAAGCATTGGAAAAGGTGCAGAGGAGATTTACCAGGATGTTGCCTGTAATGGAGGGAAGGTCTTCCGAGGAAAGGTTGAGAGAGCTAGGGCTTTTTTCTTTAGAACGACGAAGGGTGAGAAGTGACTTGATAGACTAAGGTCTATCTAACCTCCACCGTTACCTTATACTATCATCCATATGCCTATCTAATAGCTGCTTAAATGCCCCTAATGAGGCCAACTCCACTCGCCTCTCCAGCAAGGCATTCCACGCCCCTACCACTCTGAGTAAAGAACCTACCTCTGACATCTCCCCTATATCTACCTCCACTCACTTTAAAACTATGCCCCCTCGTAATAGCTACCTCGTCCCTAGGAAAAAGTCTCTGGCTATCCACTCTATCTATATTTCTGATCATTAAATTCAATTCCCCTGCCAATGAAAGCTACCACACCATATACCTTCTTTACAACCCTATCAACTTGAGTTGCAACTTTGAGGGATCTATGGACGTGTACCCCAAGATCCTTCTGTTCCTCCACACCGCCAAGAATCCTGCTATTAACTCTATATTCTGCATTTAAATTTGACCTTCCAAAATGAATCACTTCACACTTTTCTGGGTTGAATTCCATTTGCCACTTCCTTGCCCAGCTCTGTATCCTGTCAATGTCCCGTTGCAAGCTACGACAGCTCTCCATGCTATCCACAACTCCACCAACCTTCGTGTCATTGGCCAACTTACTAACCCACCCTTCCACTTCCTCATCCAAATCATTTATGAAGACCACAAAGAGCAGAGGTCCCAGAACAGATTCCTGCGGAACACCACTGGCCACTGAGCTCCAGGTTGAATAACACCATCTACTACCACCCACTGTCTTCTATTGGGCAGCCAGTTTTGTATCCAGACAGCCAAATTTCCCTGAATTCCATGCCTCCTCACTTCCTGAATAAACCTACCACAGGAAACCTTATCAAATGCCTTGCTAAAACCCCACATCCACTGCTCTGCCTTCATCAGTATGTTTTGTCACATCCTCAAAGAATTCAATAAGGCTTGTGAGGCATGACCTGCCCCTCTCAAAGCCATGCTGACTATTTCTAATCAAACTGTACTTTTCCAAATAATCATCAACACTATCTCTCAGAATCCTCTCCAATAATTTGCCCACCACAGAAGTAAGACTGACTGGTCTGTAATTCCCAGGATTATCCCTATTCCCTTTCTCGAATTTGGGAATGACATTTGCCACCCTCCAATCATCTGGCACTACTCCAGTAGACAGTGAGGATGCAAAGATCATTGCCAAAGGGGCAGCAATCTCTTCCCTCGCTTCCCGTAATAACCTTGGGTATATCCCGTCTGGCCAGGGGACTTACCTATCCTCATGTTTTTCAAAATTTCCAGCACATCCTCCTTCCTAACGTCAACCAGTTTGAGCGTATCTGCCTGTTTCATGCTGTCCTCACAAACGTCAAGGTCCCTCTCACTGGTGAACACTGAAGTAAAGTATTCATTAGGGCCTCCACTACCTCCTGTGACTCCGCGCACAAGTTCCCTCCACTGCCCCTGATTGGCCCTACCCTCACTCTGGCCATCCTCTTGTTCCTCACATAAGCATAGAACACCTTGGGGTTTTCCTTGATCCTACCCACCAAGGCTTTTTCATACCTCCTTCTAGCTATCCTAAGTCCATTCCTCAGTTCCTTCCTGGCTACCTTGTCATCCTCTAGAGCCCTGTCCGATCCTTGCTTCCTCAACCTTAAGTAAGCATCCTTCATTCTCTTGACTAGATGTTCCACATGTCTTGTCATCCAAGGTTCCTTCACCTTACCATCCTTTCCTTTCCTCAGTGGGACAAACCTATCCAGTACTTGTAGCAACTGCTCCCTAAACAACCTCCACATTTCTGTCGTACATTTCCCTGAGAACATCTGTTCCCAATTTATGCTCCGCAGTTCTTGCCTAATAACATTGTAATTTCCCCTCCTCCAATTAAATACTTTCCCATACCGTTTGCTCCTAGCCCCCTCCATGACTACAGGAAAGGTCAGGGAGATGTGATCACTATCACCGAAATGCTCTCCCACCGAGAGATCTGACACCTGGCCTTGTTCGTTGCCAAGCATTAAATCCAATATGGCCTCCCTCTCATCTTGTAAAGACTACTTGTAAAGGTCACTCCTGCCCCAGAAATGGTCCCAGTGATTTAGGATCTCCCCTGGTCCAACTCTTAATCCCCGCATTCACTTGTTCTATTCTCTTGTTTCTCTGTATGCTAGCATGTGGCACCAGGAGTAATCTGAGATGACAACATTCGAGGTCCTGCTTCTTAATCTATTGCCTAGCTCCCTGAACTCTTGATGTAAGGCCTCATCCCTCATTCTACCTATGTCATTGGTACCGATGTGTACTGCGATCTCTTATCACCTCCAGCCGTACAGCCTTCCTCAAAATCAATTTTCCTTTCTCTAATTACCCTACCCCCAGCAGCTACCTTGATCCTTTCCCTCTGGAATTCTATTTCTGATTTTCTCTTCAGTTCCTTCCCCTTTTCGAAAGCTTCTCAAAATCCATCTCTTTCCCCTTTGTCTCTTCTCCTTTGGCTCTGCATCCTTTTTCTTATCTTTCTGAAGCACTATAGGGCAGTGTCCAATTCTAAAAGAGCGATATTGATCCAAGTTTATAATTGCAGACTTTAAGTGCAGACTAGGAGGCAGTTAATTCCAGCCATCTCTTTTATTTTAGAGAGGAGAGTATCAGAAGGACCTCATCATCCGCGAGCCAGCCCCTCAGCCAATACAGTTTCACCGCGACTGAGATCACCTCGTACCCCTCAAGCTAGAAGCTATCTACTTGGCAGGAGAAGGAAATATGCACCACATCCAAAAGAACAAAGGAGACATAAAGTACAAAAACTTGGTCGGTCCTTTAACTACAATGCCAATATATCAATACTGAATTTGCTTTGAAGATGCTACAGAAATCTTTCAATTGTTGAGTCAATTCAATTTTATATTTTGGTATAGAAATTCAATCATAGAGTTGTAAACTTAGTCAAGTATATGTGTGCTGTGATCATTTATGGTTTCTCAGTTTTACAATGTGAACCTGTCATGATCAGAAAATACTGAAGATTATAACGATTGCTGCAGTACTTTCTTTTCTTGTATTTTCATGCTTATCTTTCCACAGTCCCTGAATCAATGTTTGGGACATCTCCTCGGACAAGGAATATCCTAGGGCAGAGGAAGCCTATTCACAGAACAAGCCCAACAAAACATGAAGGTGGGTTTCATCAGAAAACCTATTGAAACGAAATAGCATCAGAAGCTTGACACTTCTCCACACTGGTTATATATTAGACATAAATACATAACTCTAAAAGTGATCATAAATGTATTTATAAGTAAGTAGCATATTTTCCAAGGTAAATTACATAAAAATGGGTTTCAAACTGAGAATTCTTAGAGCCTGAAACTTTTTCAAAGTGAAATTTATATGATTTGAATTTGTAGCAGACTGCTGTGAGCAGTGTTGATGCCATCCAACGGACAGGATAGGTTAACTGAAGAAGAACAATAGATCTTCAGAGAGAAACAATGTTAACATTTCAAGCAAAGGATGTATAATCATAACTGGATAGTTGCACTTTGAGGTTTCAAGCAAATCTGAGCCAGAGTAAAGGGTTTGGAGTAAGTGGTAGAAGGTTGGATGAATAAAAAAATCAAAATGGAAGATCTCCAAATTTAAATGGATAAAATTACAAGACAAAATCAGGTGGTAATAAGATGGTAAAAAGAAAATGAGTCTCAAGGAGGTTTCAGTGGAACAGTAAAACTAATCTTAGCACCTAGTGGCCTGAAAAATTGGGAATGGGTGTTATGATCTGAAGTTGTTGAATTTAACAAGGTAATTCAAAGGTTGTAAAGTACCTACTCAACAGACAAGGTGCTGTTGATGTTTGTGTTGACCTTCACTGGACTGAAGATGATTCTCTGTAGCTGATTTTTCAGGCTAAGCCTTTAATATGTGGAAAGTCCAGAGAGAGCTGTTCCTTGGGTGCGTTGACATCTGTGCATACGTCATGAATATGTATATCTGTTGATTGAGACTCTGCACTCTCAAAATTTTTATAACTATTTTTGCTACAACAATGATTAATTTTGGATGATCATCACTCTTATTGTTTTAGAGAATAATGAATTGTATGAACCCAGAGACATAACAGTTCGAGTTATGAGTCCACAATCTGTGCTTGTTATTTGGGTCGATCCTGCTCTTCAAAGGGATAAGAATCATGATGCTGGTTCAGAAAGGTATGCACTTCGACAATAAATTACAGTCTGTACTCTGATTCATGCTTCTTTCCTACTTGGCTGCCTTTCTTGGGCTATGTGCAAGGAATCAGCATCTGGCAATACAAATACAGCTGTTTATCCAACACCAATTAGAACAAAATTCCAGTTAACATTTTACACGTGGGTATGTTTAGGTGTCCATCAGGATGATTTCAAAATATGTTTCAAAGCCAAATTCCAGTAGTCCCACATCAGTTTGTTCAAAACCTACTTGACCTGAAGCTGAGCTTCTGACCTTGTGTGATCCTTGCACCTTTTCAGTTTTACCCTGTTCTGTTTCACCACCTTCTGCAACTATCTGAGACCATATGTTCCTGAAACTCTCATCTGTACATTTGTCACCTCCCACTATTCAGCTAAAAATGCTGTTATGCCATCATTGTTGATTATGGAGATGTGGTGGGATGCCTTTTTGAACCAGCTTCATAAGGTCAAGTAGTTTAGAATAGTAAAATGTAGGGTATGCAGGGTAGTTTGACCTTAGTAGGATAATAGGTCAGCACAACATCGTGGGCCGAAGGGCCTGTACTGTTCTATACTATTCTATGTTCTAATTGACTGGGCTACTTAAAGGGCAGGTGGCAGTTGTTGTGGGATCGGAGCAGTCTAACATAGAAAAGCTGAGTTTATTCCTTGTACACAAGTTGGTGTTTTCCTTCTACCTTTGTGTTCTCTTTTACTAATGCCATCTTTGTTTCTTATGTCCTGTTTCTTTTCATTAAATTGAATTAAATTTGTCAAACTGCTATGGTGGAATTTGAATTCATATTTGCTAGATTATAGTGCAGGCCACTAGTGCAGGCAGCACGGTGGCTCAGTGGTTAGGACTACTGTCTCACAGCGCCAGGGACCTGTGTTCGACTCCACCCTTGGGCAACTGTCTGTGTGGAATTTGCATATTCTCCCTGTGTCTGCATGGGTTTCCTCCCACAGTCCAAAGATGTGCAGGCTAGGTAGATTGGCCTTGCTAAATTGTCCATAGTGTTCAGGGATGTGTAGATTAGGTGGGTTATAGGAGGATGGGTCTGGGTGGGATGCTCTGAGGGTCTGTGTGGACTTGTTGGGCTGAAGGGCCTGTTTCCACACTGTAGGGATTCTATGATTACTAGTCTAATTACATACCATAAGACTACCTTACTTTTTTAGTAACTACAAATCTCTGCTGTCCATATCCTTTCAGCCAGGTCTACCTTCTTATTAATCTTCTGCTAGTCAGCCTATCCTGATTCCTGCAAGCACAAAAGCAGTTCCATGTGTAACATACACGTTAATTGGAGAATGCAATGATTCTTTGTTTGATTGAAGAAACTGACTGGGAGCCTGGAGTGCCTCTCTGTGATGTTTATATTGCAAATAGAGACAGTTGAAGGTTTTGAATAACAGCACAGATTTCTACTATTGACTGAGATTGGATGAAGTGTGTTTCTCAATGAGACATGTATATATACTGCCTTGATCCATTACTGTGGTACCATGAAGCAACAGCAGTAGAAAGTGCAGTACAGTAGGGTTAAGCCATTTGCTGGCTGCAAAAGAAATATCAGATGCCCAAATGAGGTAATGGGAAGTGCATTAAATCTTAAGAATTAAAAACTGCATAAGCCAACAGAAATGAAACAGTGACTTCAGACAAATTTAATTAGAACTTCTATTCTAGAAGCTTCAGTTGCATTGTTATCTCTGTGATCAAAATTGTCTGAATATTTACAGGAATAAGTTAATGGTAGGACCCTGGGGAGTGGTGTTGAACAGAGGGATCAAGACATGCAGGTTTATAATTCTTGAAAGTGGTGTCTCAGGTACACAGGATGGTGAAGAAGGCATTTAACATACTTGCCTTCATTGGTCAGAGCATTAAGTAGAGGAGTTGGGACATCATGTTGCATCTGTACAAGACATGGTTGCACTGCTGTAGGAAGGATTTTGTTAAACTAGAAAGGGTGCAGAAAAACATTTACAAGGATGTTGCTGGGACTGGAGGGTTTGAGTTATAAAGAGAGATTGGATAGGCTGGGACTTTTTTCCCAGTTGGAGGCTGAGGGGTGACCTTACAGAGGTTTATAAAATCAAGAGGGGCATAGATAAGGTGAAGAGCAAAGGTCTTTTCCCAAGGGTAGGGGAATCCAAAACTAAAAGGCATGGAATTAACTACCAGAGGAAGTGGTGGAAGCAGGTACAGTTACAACATTTAAAAGACATTTGGACAGATACATGAATAGGAAAAGTTTTGAAGGACATGAACCAAACACAGGCAAATAGGACTACTTCAGTTTGGGATACCTGGTTGGACCAAAGAGTCTGTTTCTGTGCTGTATGATTCTATGACTTGATGACTCTACTGTCTCTGATCGGCTCTTGTAATCCAATTATTTTGGCTGCTCTGTTTAACTTTCTGGTCAATAGTGGCACTAGAATGTTGGTGGGAAAGGGGCAGGTAGGCTTCAGTAATGATGCTTAGGGAACGTACCCTGAAATTGCCGAAGGTGTATCACCTGTCTATTTACCTCCATCCTCCTCAATATCCAAGTGCCTAAACATATCTTCCAGATGAAGCAGTGCTTTACCTGTACTTCATGCAATCTAGTCTACTGCATTTGCTGCTCACAATGTGGTCTCCTCTGCATTGGGGAAACGCAGTGTAGGCTGGGTGACTGCTTTATGAACATTTATGTTCTGCCCACAAAAATGATCCTGAGCTTCCAGTTGTTTGCTGCTTCAAAGCACCACCCTGTTCCCTGGCCAATATCTCTGTCTCAGCCTTGCTGCAGTGCTCTAGTGAAGCCCAGCATAAGCTGGAAGAACAACACCTCATTTTCCGCTTGGGGACCCTGCAGCTTTCTGGACTCGATATCAAGATCAATAACTTAAGGGCTTGAACGCTCCTACATCCTAGCCCCTATCTCCACACATCAAGTCTTGTTACCACATAGTCTGCAATTACACACAACCCGTTGTTAGCCATTTACAGTCTCCATTAATAGCTATTTACCCTCCTAGCCAGATTGTTATCTATGCCTTTGTCTGTCCAATTGTTCTTCTCTCTCTTTGGGCTGTATCCCCAGCTATTGTTTACTCCTTACTCCCTCCCCTCACCCTATCTTCTGCATAAAAACTGACATTTTCCTAGCTACCGTCAGTTCTGAGGAAGGGTCACTAGACCTGAAACATTAACTCTGATTTCTTTTCACAGATGCTGCCAGACCTGCTGTGCTTTACCAGCAATTTCTATTTCTGTTTCTGACTTACAGCATCCGCAGTTCTTTCCAATTTTATCCCAGTATAGAGGCACTGGTTATGGTCAGTAATGTATACTGGGCGGGTCACGTCATTCATGTGCCTGATACAAGACTTCCGAAACAAGCTCCCTACTTTGAGCTTTTGTCATAGCACGCAGTTACCAGGAGGGCAGAGGAAATGTTTCAAGCATGTCTTAAGCTGGTTCATCCTTTGTTTTATCTTTCATTTTCAACATTGTTTTCAACAGTGGTTGGCTGGCCAGCACTGGCCCTCCCTTAATTGACCACTTTGACATCCAACCTCCTGCCAGTCCCTGAGCATAGCATCTCAGCACTGAAATGTCTACTTCGTCCTTAGAACTGTAATTACTCTACGTTATTTTTCTGGGTCAGTTCCCAATAGCAAACATCGGTCTAATGTTTCCTTCTCATTTTTCAAACAAGCTGGTGTAAAAAGTTCAAAGTTCAATTCTGAACTTCAACTCTCAGTTCCAAAGTGAAAAAGAGAAAAAATAAAAGAAACAAAGCGATATGCCATTTCATATGGTCAGCCAGTCTTTGGGACTCTACATATTTGACATCATACCAGCATTGAAAATCTGTATCTTGAATTAGTATTCTTGTGAATTGCCATAGAATCATAGACGTCTACAGCATAGAAAAAGGTCCTTCAGTCCACGGAGTCTCCGCTGGTCAAAAACAAGCACCTAACATTTCCAATCCCATTTGCCAGCACATGGCCCATAGCCTTGTATGCTTTGATATTGCAAGTGCATATCTAAATACTTGTTAAATGTTATCAGAGTTTCTGCCTCTTTACAGGCAGTGAGTTCCAAATTCCCACCACTCGCTGGGTGAAACAAATTTTCTTCACATCCCCTCTAAACCTCCTGCTCTTATCTTAAATCTTTTACCCCTGTTAGTCATTCAGCCTTCACCAGAGGGAAATATTACTTGCCATAAACATCTAAATCATGGCCCCAGTCAGTCTTCTGTGCTCTGAGGAAAACAAACCCAGTCTGTTCAATCTTACCTTTAACTATAGCTCTCTGGTCAAGCAACATCCTGGTAAATCTTCTCTGCACTGTCTCCAGTGCAATCACACACAAACCATGACCCCCACTGCACCCCCACCCCAAAAATGTGGATTCCAGAACTACACAATACTCTTGTTGTGGCTAACCTACATTTTATACAATCTTGACATTACTTCCTTGCTCTTAAAATCTATGCTTCAGCTATAAAGGCAAGTATCCCTTATGCTATCTTAAGGACCTTATCTAACAGTTCCACAACTTCAAGGGTCCAGTGGATATACACATCAATATCCTTTTGATCCTGTATGCTTCCTGGAGTCCAATAGTTCATCATGTACTCCCAGGGTCCTACCATTCGTTTATCTTGCCTTGCCTGGTTTGTCCTGCTCAAGTGCATGATCTCACACTTATCTGTATTATCTGTTCTGAAGAAAGGTCTGAAACCTGAAACAGTAACTCTGATTTCTCTCTACAGATGCTGCCAGACCTGCTGTGTTTTTCCAGCAATTTCTGTTCTTGCTATCTGGATTGAATTCTATTTACCATTGATCAGCCCCATCTGCCCAGCCTGTCTCCATCCTCCTGTAGTCTAAGGCTGTCCTCCTCAGAGTTTACCACTCCACTGATTTTTGTAACATCCATGAACTTACAGATTAACCCAACGACGTTGAAGTCTAAATCATTT